ATTATTATAGTATGATAAAATTAATTTTATATGTCAGTATGAAAAACTGGTTGTATTTGATTGTATTAATCCAATCGTAAACCAATCCAGTTGCTCAGAGAAACCTAATGATCTAAGTTATATAGCTTTTTTATTGACAATTTTAAATCTTCTGAAAAATATGCAGCCAAAAATTGAATCAATAATTAATTAGTTCATAATAGCTGAAATTTATTGATTATTGATCAAGTTTAGTTCATTAAACTCGAGCTCGAGACAAACCCGATTTCTAGCTAAGCATATTTTTTAACTTTCTGATGATACAGTAAAGATTTAGAGCTCAAATCTGTGAAATAATATTTTTCAAGCTAAATATATTGCATAAAATATAATTTGACTTTAGTCGATTTTCTTATGGTACACACTCAAACATATATCAGCGGAGAGCATTTTATTTTGGTAGTTCTCTTACTAGATCATGCTTCTCATTTTTGACTTATTCAGATGCCCTCTCAGATCTTTAGTAAATGTAATGGGTTTATTAAATCCCAAGACACCCAAAACTTAAAATGAATATGAAATGCACTTTCCTTTGTTAAAAATACCCCAGAAAGGGTTAGTGTCTATAAACATTCTGCGTAGTATTCTCACTTTACCATTGTACACAATAAACATCTCGATATATCATTGTCATGTTAAAGCCACTCAAAGCAAATTTGAATTAAAAACTCAATTTTTCACTTCAAACTTTCATCAAATCCAATATAAACACATATATATGACTTATACACCGTCTTTTATATCTACCATAAGACTAGCGTTTACATTTATGGCTCTGCTCGCTTTATGAGGAAGCAGCTTCATCACGTTTGGCCTCTGAGTTCAACTTTGTGGCTGGCAATTTTTATTGCAATCACGTGTTAATTTGGTAACGATGGCGCTTCCGTGCGACCCTTAATTAGATCAAATTCAAAACTTAATTAAAAACTGAAGTGATAGAGACAACAAGAAAAAATCCAGTGATTCATATTTATGTTCTCACATGGCGCTATATGCATATAGAATGCTCCAGTTGCAGCAATTAAACAGTTTGCCACATTGTCTGCCACATCTATCTGCATGTCTGCGCCATTGTGCAACGCGTGAGAATGTCTACAGATAAGACATGAGAGAGAGAGAGAGACAGAGAGAGAGAGGGAGGGAGAAGGCAAGAGGGAGCTCGACTCTAGTTAGCTGTCGTGTGGCAAGTGCTGCAAGAAATAGTTGAGCTCAATTTGGTCTCTGTTTCTGTGGCTCTGTGTGTCTTGGGCTAACAAGCTGAGACGCTCGGGAATAAGCCTACATTACATATATAAATTTATAGCTTATTGATCAAATGTGTGTTAAGAGTTCCGGCAGTAAAGTAAAGTATTGTATTTATTATTGAAAGTATAAATGCAATATTCGACCCCTCCTCTCTCTCTCCCTCTCCCTCTCTCACTGTCTCTGTCTCTGTGTTAGCCTTTGCTCGCTGGCTGTTTAGCTGGCAGGCTTATACAAGATTATAACTATAACGAATGCCGGTTACGAGTTCAGCAAACAAGTTTGCGATGAATTTTATTTCATTTTTGTAACAATCAAACAATTTACAAATTTTAAAATGAAAACTTCAGACATGCAACACATGAATTATGCCATTTATTGTTGTAGAAGAGACAGCCGTATGACGTATGCGCATTGTAAGCCCTTTCGCTTTTATGGCGCTATCTTGTTAACCGGCTGTCATCAAAACCCCCTGAAGGCCAACTCTTGACAGCAGGCCTAATTTGCTGTCCAATGTCAGGCGGGACAGCGATTATTATGACTTATTTTATTTACAATTTTCATTGTGAACATAAAACATGAAATTGTTCGCATTTCCGCTGTGCATTGCATAATTCTTAATTATATAAATAAAAAAAAAAAGAGTAGAAATTTTCTTTATTTTTTATATTAACTGTTGACATCTTTTACATAATTTATATCAAGTTTTCGCACGAGACAGTTTTAAACTAGTTTTGATTAGCTTATCTTCAGATAGCGTCAAGCGTAAAAGAAAGTGAAAACTAGAAAAATTACCAAAATATTATAAGCATGTTGTGCGTGTATGTCTCTGTGTGTGTGTGTGCGTGTGGGCTAGACAACAGTTAGCGATAAATCAAATATATAATTGATTAGGTGAAACGAGAAATAAAACTTAGTTTGTCAATTTGATAAAGCTTTGCCTTTACTTAGTTTAGCTGCCAAACCAAAGAGTGTCTAGCAAAACGAACTGTCAGCAAAATTTATGCTCAACTCTTGCGCATGCCATGCACGTTATGCACGAGGGTCGACTCCAAACTTTTAATGACCAGCAGGTGTTGGCTTGCCTTATATTGCGTGTGAATTTCTGAATGGGCATATTGAGTTATTGAGTGTGGCTAATGATGATTGGCTGGCCATTTACTTGGAAGCAGAGCTTTGTTTGTATTTGGAAAGAAAGAGCTTGAAAGAGAGAAAAAATATTAAACAACAAATTTACTCTTATCAATGAGCTAGTTCTTCATTTCTATTCCTGTTCTCTTTTTGTTTGCCTCTGAATACAAAAACAAGCTGACAAATAAGTGGATTTTTTAATGCTATTCTTGATTTGAATTATCATAATTTAGAAGGCATCTCCATTATTTAAAATATTTATATAGAATATATATCTTGTGCTAGCCAACAAGTCGCATATCATTGAAATTGTATTAATCAAATTTTCTGTGCTCAGTTTTTGCAAACATGAAACTGGTTTCTGTAGTTAAAAGAGCATCAATCAATGTGTGACATCTATCAATTGCTGTTGAGCTGGACCAAAACTCACAAGAAAAACGCTCAAAGTAATTGCAAGCAAATATTGCTGTCAAGCGCCGCAGGATTTCGCGAAGGTCTCTCCAGATGTGGTGCTGCAGTGGCTCGACATATGCGTATATGAAATATCATGGGAATTGCTATGGGAACTTAAGAGCTGTGAATTATAAATAGAAGTAGAGATACATTCACCTGATATAAATTCTGAGATAGAACCAATTTAAATAGCATTCCCACCGGCCTAACAATATAAACGACAACCCTCGTAGTAAATCCCATATGCATATGATATAGAGCACTCTAAGTATGTGTGTGTAATATTCATTATATATACATATATTTCGCCTCAGCAACAGCTGCTCAATCTTAATCATAGAGCTCCGTCTTGATCGCAATCACAGCTGCGCATGCGAGACCAGCTATTAACAAGGCTAAGCAATAGACAAGCGCCATTTGAATACAATATCTTGACAACTTCAATTGTAATCTGCAATGCCCGCAATTGGCTCCATATACTATAATATATAACAACAATATATAAATCTGTTAACAAAGGGCAAGAAATGACATTGCATATATTAAATGATTTATATATGCAATCCTGAGTAATCCAGTAAACTATACTTCATGTATTGAATGGGTTTATAATTGAAATTAGCATTAGCTATGCATCGACTTAAGTTCGATTTAATTAAGTCTTTGATAGATGGCATTCATCTGGCAAACTTTTAATGAGAACAGTCTATCAGCTCAACACATTCCCATTGAATGGTAATTCAGAGTGTAATCGTTTATCGAACATGTCTGTCACAGACAGAAGAAGGCGTGGCTGGCCCTATGTAGTTCAGAGATTTTAAATCAGGGTAACAAGATGGCTAATAAAGCCGTGTGCACCTGATCCGCCGTATTACTGCAGCCATATTTGAAACATTAAATACAGTATATACTTTTGTATACTACAAAGAATATATATACTTTCATAACAAAATATATAATATATGTACTATAAAAAACAACATATGTATATGTAGTCGGCCAAATATATATTCTATATTGTCGCTGATAACTGATAGTTTGACTTCGATTTTTAAATGTATCTCAAAAAATACTACGAATTTACACTACCTCGAGCATTTTCTCTAAATTTGTAAAAACTTTTAATAAATAATATCAGTATTATTTTTTTATATAATATAAAATTTTAAATTTAATAAATGATAATATTTAATTATGCTTTGATAAGTGCCGACTAAAGGCCACTTATTCTCAATTTACAATCACGTAAGAAATCCCTTGGCTTATAGAAATATATACTTATTTTTTCTTAGAAAAAAAAAGTTATTTTTAATTTATTCCCTTATATCAATTTATCGTCAGAAATCACTTTTCAATTAAAAATACCTAATAAAAGCCCCATAAAATATTTGCATAAATAAAACAATAAAATTTAACTCGCTTCAATTTCATGTTAGTTAATTTCAAATTATTGAGAAATCTTTAATTATTTGCTTACAATTAACATAGATTTGGTGTGGATGGGCATATTAAATGATTGATTTATTGAAATTTCCAGCGTGAATCATTTACTAGTTTGTTTATTGGCCACATCAAGTTGGCTAAAATGAATTGAATTGCGAGTGTATTCATTTTCACGATTTCGAGTTGTTTATGGCTAATTAATTGAGTTTATATGAATGCGATTGCCTAATTTGCTTCCCCCTCATTTAGCTGGGATTCGCCATGCAACGCTTTCTGCTGGCCACTGTGCTCTGCTGGCTGCTCTGTCAGCTGCCTGGTGGCGCCCAGTCATCTGGCCTGCAGGTGATGAAGCAATGGAAGCTGCTGCGCTACAACTTTCCAAAGCAGATGCGGGCCGGCGATACGAACTTTTATAATCCGGAAAATGTGCTCATCACGGGCATTGCCGTCACGGCTGATCGCATTTTTGTGGCCACGCCGAAGCTGTTCTCGGGCGTGCCATCGACTGTCAGCTGGGTGCCAAAGGACAAGATCGGGGACTCACCCACGCTGCAGGCATTCCCCGACTGGTCCTTCTCGAACACAGCGCGCACGAACTTCAACTGCAGCGATTTGATTCTCACCTCGGTTTATCGCCTGCGCATCGACTCCTGCAATCGCCTGTGGATGCTCGATGCGGGCATCTCGCGTTCCCTGGAGGATTACGAGCCCACCTGCCCGCCCAAGATACTCGTTGTCGACCTGAGCACGGATCGCGTCGTGCGTCGCATTGACTTCCCGCCCGAAGTGCTGCGCGGTGAGACCCTGTTCACCAACATGGTCATCGATGAGACGACGGCCACGTCCTGTGACGACGTGTTCATCTACATCACGGATACCGTAGAACCGGGCATTATTGTGTACGACAGCGGCAAGGATGTCACCTGGCGTGTCTCGCATCCAGGTACAAATCCAAATCAAAGATAAAAGTGTGAACTTGTTTTATATGTGTGTCAATCGTAGCCATGTATCCGGATCCGGACTTTGCGCAATCCGAGATACTCAACGATCGCTTTGTGCTGATGGACGGCGTTGTGGGTCTGACATTCGATGAGAAAAAGGGCATTGTATACTTCCAGCCACTGGCCACAGATCGGTAAATGAGTCTATCTAGGTATATGGAATCTATATATGTATATCTGTATACTCCCATCTCTCCCAGCGTCTTCTCGGTGCACAAGGACGTGCTGCGCAGTGGACCGCTGCCCAATGGCCAAATGCTGGACGTCAAGCTGGTGGGCAAGAAGTCGTCGCAGGGCATTGGCTTGGCGGTGTCCCCTTATGACAGCAGCCTGATCTTTAGTCCGCTCACTGAGACGGCCATTGCCTCCTGGAATCCGGCGACCAATCAGCAAGCTGTCCTAGCCCAAGATGTCGACCGGCTGCAGTTTGTGGCGGACCTGACCACGACACGGGCTGAGCCGGGCGTCGTCTATGCCATATCCTCGAAGTTCCATCGCTTCTTCCTCAAGAACCTCAATCCGAACGAGTATAATAATCGCATCCTACGCATCGAACTGCCACAGGTCAAGGGCCAAACTCTCAAGAGTCCCTTGCTAGGCCATTCCCTGCCTTTACCCACAGCCCCAGCTCACAATAGCCTGCTCCACTACAGCCTGTACAACGCTCCAGCACACACGAACATCCACGTGCACTCGCAGGCGAACAGGAATGCGCTGCAAACGTACTTTACCAGTCCGGCCTTCGGCACGCCCCTGACCACCAAGACGCCGTACAAGTTCGAGAATACGGGCTTTGTCAACTATGGCCTACGCAATCCATTCACGGCGCTCAATCAGGGCGAGGCCTTTCCGCCCAGCAAGGCGACACGTGACAACTATCAGCGTTCCTATCTGGACACCCTGGTGAGCAGCCCCGTGACCACGCCTGCAGCAGCGCCCACGCCCTACCCTCAAAGCCTTCGCCACAGTGGCTTCTACTATCCCTAAACGGATTATTTTGTATTTGTATATTCTTTTGTATTTCTGTAAATATTTTGTTTAATTTATTTTATTTTTGGTTTCCGCCTCTCTTTTTATTTGTTTGTAAATATTTTATGATTTTCTATAATAATTGGTTGTTAATCCAAGAACATGTCCTTTTCATGTCATTGAACAAATATACATATACATATATAAATATAAAAAAAAAAAAACACAAATTTTACTGATTTCTTAGAAATACTTAGAGGAATACTAGAAAAAATTCTTAAAGGAAATACATAGAAGAGTTGCACTATTTATTTTTCTACAAATTTCATAGTTTCTTAGGACACTAACTAAAGTTGGAAATTTATAATGTATTCTCGTGATATTAATATCAAAGATAATTAACTGATTATAGAATGTTGTAAACTGATCCTAAACAGATTCTAAAAAAAGTTAGACTTCAGTATGAACCCAATTTATAGATAGTTGTGAATGTCAAAGAAGTTAAATAGCCGAAACACGACTTTGACATTTGCTTCAAAGTATTTAACTACAATTAGTTCAACTATCTAAAAACCTTTTCAATTTTGCTGTTAATTGAATGTTTGACTATATATCTGACTAACAGCTGCCAGTTAAAGTAATAATGAATTGATTAAACAAATTTTTAATTACATAATTAAGTTACAGTTTCTGACAAGTTGAACTCTGGCGCTCTCAAAGCCGACTTTAATGAGCCATAAAACGACGGCTTAACCAGTTCTCAAATGAAATTGTGTTTTTATTATATTTTGTTTGTTTCTATCTTAGGCAACGCTTTCGGGCGATTTCTCGCTTATGGTGGCTTGGTTCTGCTTGGCTAATCTGAACTTAAGTTTCATTTGGTTTTGGTCTTTGGCTCGACTTAATTGATACAAAATAAGTGCAAAAAATGCAGCCGATTCGTAAATTGATTGATCGAGTAGGCCATAATTTTAAACGTTTCCAAAACTTTAATGACATTAAATTCCTAAGAGAAATAAATTGTTAATTTGTTTTGAAGCAACTTCCGCTCTCTTCAAGCCTTAAACTGGTTGAGAATCGCAAGCATTCCGCTGTGGAATCGTGCAAAGTCCGCTTTATGTGCATAGCTGAAAGGCCATTCAAATTTCAAAAATTTCTTTTTAAAGCACTTGCTGCCTGAGCTCTAGACATCAAAGAAAACAATTAAGATTGATTAAGTTTTTGGCTATTTGACTAGTGGATACTCTGTAAGCTCATGACAATAAATATTTCAATTATTAAATAAGAAAAATTGTAGGAATTATTTTAA